TGACCTACCGCAAAAGGTAAGAATAAGCCATGGAAAATTCCCATCTCGGCATGTTGCCGATACCGGGCATCAGGTTGACGATGACGCATTTCGAATCACCTACAAGGTGCCACCGAACCCCTCGAAAGCCGTCCATCAACGTCATCTCGCAAGAGCCGAAGCCGTGGCCATTTGAATAATGAAACCCATCGCGTCGTTCTCAAAAGCGATTCGTACAATCAGTCAGACTGCCTTGGCCACAACGTGACACACTCCCAAGATAGACTTGAACTTTCCCATGNCATTTTAATTTTAATTCGACTATATAACTGTATTAGTCCGAAGAAGAAGTTGTCGAAAACGACCTTGTTTGCTAAAAACTATCGCGTAAAAATAAATTATAAACGAAGGTGGCGTGAATGGAACAAGGTAAGACTAATTGAAATATATATTATTGATGATAAGTATGCATAGGTATAATGATAAAATAGGTAAAACGATTTGAGAGAAATAAAGTCAGGAAATCTTTATTATGCGCTATATGGCAATTCGGCGGAGCTCACCGGTACTACCCACGTCAGCTGACATTTCTTATCTGAAGATCATATTATTCACGGTTTGTATACTTTGAAAATGAAACGAACGTAGCACACATGATTTGCAACAGAAGTTGGCAACAAGTTGTACAAAGAGGATAATAAGAATCGATAAAATAGTAAACCTTTATTAATTATTAATTACAAATATTCATCGACATAATGAAACGATGGTTGGAGTTTACCAGGAATCACCCAGTAGGCTGTAATTTCTCAACTACAAATCAGAAGATATATATTACAGAATGAAAAAAGTAAGCGCATTTGCTTTCATGCAAAATTCAACAATTATTAATGAAAGATAATGGTGATTTGAATGGACAAATGTAGTAAAATTCAATAATATGTATTATTGTTCATATTAAGAAACCGCGATATTGATAAATCAGTGCAAAGGCAGGTATAGAAACTAACTGGGATACAATTTGCTTTACTCGACAATACAAATCCACTATGTTCGTCGGAACAGTCTCCTTATTTTTAAACGTCTCAGTTGCAAATCATCCCACTCACAGATTGTATACTTATTGCCGAAAAAACGCAGCACACCAGATATATTTCAAAAGTTGATATTAAGTAGTACCAAGAAAAGAAAGGTTATTGGAACAATGGTAAATCTAATGAAATTGTTTATTGCGGATCATAATTACTCATAGGTATATTGATGATCTAATTGAAACGATGAAATTGGTAAAAAAAAACTCTGAAAGTGATTGAGATAGGGTTCATATAATTGACAGCATTTGGTCGGATTTTACTGGAACTGCTCGCATAAGGTGGAATTTCTGAGCTGCAAATCATTTTACGCAGTTATCATACTTATTTTCGATAATCAGCGAAATGCAGCAACTTGATATAACACAAACGTCCACAATTAGTAACGCAAGAGAAAAAGGCTGCCTATGACAAACCTAATAAATATTATCGATCATAATTAAGCATAACTGCAACAATGAGAACATTTAAGACGAGAAAAATGGAAATTTCTCTGAAAAGAGCTACAATAAGTTCTGTATGCATGATAAATAAATTCCACGGAGGTCACCGGTACTGCTCCCGTAAGCTGAAATTTCTCTATTGCAAATAATACTACCCACGGTTCGTATATTCATTTCCGAAAATTGAACAAATGCAGTACGCTTGGTATAACGCGTGTAACAATAAGTCATAAAACAAAAAGTTGACCCTAACCGAAAAAAGCGATAAATCTAATAAATTAATGTAATTTTATCATATTTAGAATGATGAGATTTGAAACAAACCTGAAAAAATGAAACAAATTGTATAAGTGACAGTTATTTACTGCTCACAATGTACTCAGGTAACAAAAATCCGATGAATGCAGAAGGTTAGTTTCACACAAAAGGTGACATTAGGTTATTCAAGAAAAAGGTGATATGAAGGGAGATACCGGTTGAACGAATGAAAACACAAATCTTAACAAATTTACGAATAGATATTATTTTACCATTATAAAAACGATGAAGCTGAAAAAATCTGGAAAGAACTGGGACAAAGTTTATTAAAGAGACATATCGTTTCGCGGAGTTTGCAAGCTGAAATCTCTCATCTGCAAACCATCCTACCCATATTCGGTATACTTCTGAAAATCAAACGCAGCACACTTGATTTCACGTAAATGTTAACAATTATTTATACAAGAAAAGAATCCTTGATAGAAAAGCTAGTGAAAATAATGGAAATATATATATACATATATAACCGATCACATTTAATCAGGGATTTCATGTTCATTGGGTAGAAACGATATAAGTTCAAACGAACGCTGAAATTTAATGGGTCAACGTTGGTACACGGAACATAACAGTTTGGTGGAAAGCACAGGGATTAGGCCCGTAAGCTGATATTTGTTAGTTGCATATCATACAAATCACAGCTATTTACTGATTTCCGAAAATCAAACAGATACAGTTTACTTGATTTTATGCAAATGAAAAAATATCAAACATGAAGAAGATAATGTGAATGAAAAATATATTGAAACTAATGTAAACACATAACATCTTTCATAACTATGCATGCGCATAATGTTAATACTAATAATAATGATATGATAGTCGAAACGATGAAAGTGGCAGAGAATCTGAAAATATCTAGGAGAATGTTTGTAAACCTGATACAGATATTCGACGGATTTTACTGCAGAAACTGAAATTTCTCAGATGTAAATCAGAACACTAACAGTTAGTTTGTGTACATATTTCCGAAAATTAAATAAATACAGCACACTTGACCCCGCCNCCCCGCCCCCCCCCCCAAAAAAAAAATAAGGGTTATTCATAGACAAGAGATGATGATGATGAAAAATTCTTTGAAACTACTTCAATTTATGTTCTTGATTATATTAGGAACAGAAGTATTCAGATTAAGTCGAAGGGCTGAAATTCGAAAATAAATTGAAATTAACTGGGACAGTTTACGGAATCGGCCTCGCACTAGGTGACATCTCTCATCGGCAAATCACAATATTCACCGTATGTATGGTTAGTTCCAAAAATTGAAAAAAAAACTGGCAGTGCCACGGAGTTTAGGGAAAAGTTAACATTAGGTCACATAGGGAGAAGGTGACATGAATGGAAACAAGTAGAGAAACTAATGAAAATTAATTTTATTGATGATATTGAGGAACATAACGATGAAATCGAAAAACACATGAAAATAATTGGGATGAAGTTTGTTTAAGTGACAAGGCGATTCCGCTGTAATTTTTGGGATTCCTCACACAAGCTGAAATTTCTCAGTTGCAAATCGCAATTCGTAGACTTATTTCCGGAAATCAAACAAGCAGCACACATTATATAACGTAAAAGTCAAGAATCAGTCCTAAATGGAACAATTGACGTGAATACAAAAATAGAAAAACTAATGAAAATATATATTACTATTCAAAATTGTGCAGTGGCATAATGATTCGTTAGTCGAAATGCTAAAAGTGACAAACAATTTAAAAATAACTGGGATATAGATTGTTTTCCTGACATGGATATTCGTCTGAGTTTACCGGGACTGTCTGTGTAACCTTAGATTCCGCAGATTCCAATCATTCTTTTCACTGGTTGTTTAAGTTTTTCCGGTCACAATGAGTTACGCTAAATTCACGTGCGTCAAAAAACTAGTAAAACAAATGAAAACATATAACAATGATTACAATTGCGCGTAGCTGTAATGAGGAAACAGTCAACAGGACGGAACTGGTAAAAAAGCTGAATGTAACTGAGATAACATCAGTAATTTTGACATAGCGATTCGTCGAGTTTTATCAGGTCTGTCCATGTAAGCTGAAATTTCTCAGCTACACATCACATTACTCGCGGTTTGTATACTTATTTCTGAAAATCAAACACACAATCAAAACACTTTGATTTCACGCAAACGTTAACAATTATTTATACCAGAAACTGATTATGTGATTCGAAAAAGAAGGAATACTGAATGAAATGTGTTCTAGTGATCTTAATTTAGATCGATGTATTGTATTTGGATTCTCAAACTTTAGATTGCAGGCGGAGTCCATGACCGCTCTCTCTCGTGTTATGTTTTTACACCTATTTTACCTGAATATCAATGATCTTAGTTTTTTTCGAACTGAACGTTATCGTTTGATTTCAAATTCATTTCACAGAGGTTTAGTAAAATATTTGTTCATCCACTTGTTTTTTTTTGGAAATCTTGATATTGCGCAGTTAATTTATTCCACTCTTAACCAGTAGTTCTTTTTACTGTGAATTGTAAATTAAATAAACTCCTCTACTACTTCATCGTAAAAGAGAGATGCTTACTTTCCTCTGATCAGCCTGGGTAATTGTTACTTGTCCAATTGAACTTTCGTAGTTACAATTTGTTACTCAGAGTGTGGGAACGACGAATTTACGCATATTGACGCTAATCTATTGCATTGTCAGGTCAACTGCAGTGGACCCCGATATGTTTTGAATTCAGTTTATCGATCCGCATATGAATGGCCGAGTCCATCTTCCTACCCCTCAATCATACCCACATATACACATGCACACACGCGCGGGCACGAACGCTTGCCCACACACCGTCAAACCATTGGGTTGACAATCCAAGGAACATTGAGCAGTTCACCGGTAGAATCTATTGCCGGGTGTTTGTATGTGTGTGAATTGGCGGTACAAAGCTGGGATAGATAGGTAGAGCGACTGAGCAGTAGTAACAACCGGGAAGATCCAATCAGATTAAGAACAAACAGACCAATCAAATTTGTCTTTTTCACTGAGTGGATCGATTAACTGATAGACCATTGCGTTGCTCTCACCTCCCGCAATACGTACGTGTTAGTGAGCTCCAAATTTGTCACTGTTCCGTGTCCAAACCAGAAGTTGTTCCGAGAGTTGTCGGCTTCTCACTTGAACGTGTATTGAATTTGACGTTAAACGAAACATGAATTTCTCGGAAGTATTAAAGAAAATTCCCACACCGCAAGTATCCATGCCTCAGATGCCCAGTATCCCGAAGTTTAATGCTGCCAGTGGTCACGAGGAGTTGGGAAAACCGCCGATCAATATGACTCAGGTGAGCTATTTACCATGTTGACCAGCTAGAAAAAGTACAGAATACAAACCAACAAATAGCTGGCACTAACCAGGGTGATTGTTTTGAAGAAATAGATGACTTGTTTCACCGCCATGATAATGCCATTGGAATTTCTTAGTGACAACGACAATCAATTTTTGAGTATAAATTAATGTCAACGTTACCAATTGCAAACTGCAAAACTATTCCATTCTAAACAAAAAATAATTTTCATTATGGTTGTTGTTATAAAAAAGCAGTGAGCACCAGATCACCTGTATGCAAATGCATTAACTGTTACTAAATAATCGTCTATCATCCGATCTTTCCCATATAAGAGGGCCGTGGAAAACATTTCCGGATGCACAAAAAGTTTTATTTATTACACAAAAATAAGCGTTACATTTTCTCAGTTCCAGCTTTTCATGCGCTCAAACCATATGGTGAAACAGCACTACCATATCAAGCTGGCAGTCGTTGCATCAGTTCAAGAAGGTCTGTACAGTAGCTATTGATGACTCGTTTCGGATTTCATGCCTGCTATGCTTGAATACCACAAACCACTCAAACACAATGCTTCATGAAGGTGCATCACTAAAGGCAGCTCGCAAACGATTGACACTCTGCTAATGTTTTAGACCACATTTGTAGTCGTAGAAAATCATCACCCTCCAGTGGCATCGACTGAGTGCCATCCTTTAAATCCGAATGACTTGTGACCGATCCTCAGCTGTTGATATTTAGTAAGGCAGTCAATAAACAATATTCACAATAGATCACAGTTCATGTTTTTCTTGCTCGGTCATCTGCACCTCATACGTGTGTTCTATATGCGGAAAATGTTTGCTCAGCCCGGTCAAAATGTGCTGAACACGATGCACTTACGCTGAAGCCCATGTTATATTGTTAACCCTACTCTTCCTCTGTAAAAGTTCCGTGCCAGTGTCACCGTATCAACGGCTGGTACACCAAGTCAGATGCCGGCTTATTGGATAACGAAGCTAAATCAGAGAATTTGAGACAAACTATCAGTTTGTGGTCTGAAATGTTATTTTAAATTTATGGAAAACATCTTTTATCATAATGTCGCATGAAGATACATGGTATCCAGCGTTGCCTGCTGTCATTTAACAAATGTCCCAATAGATGAGATAGTAGTGTTATAATTCCAGAAGGCGGTGCCGGTCGAGGATAGTCGTTTATTGTAAATTAAAAATGGAACCGTCAATTTGGCAGACATAACACAGAAAATCTCATCAGAAACATACTATCGCAGTTCCTGGGTGCACAAAGGATTATGAATGTTGCAATCGTTAGTTATTCTTTGAGATACAGCAATGTTCCCTCGGTGATTTTGTCGACTTTTGATCGTTAAAATAAATCACCAATTATGTTAACTACTACTCACAAGTGAGTAGGATCTCACAACAGTAGGTATAGCGTACCTCATAGCTTGAGAGGGTTGTTCAATAGGTTATCTACTGTCCTTGATGCTGTTAGGCACAGAAAATTTAGACTTCTGCTCCAAACGAAAACCGCAAACAAAGATTGGGCTAGTCCATTAGCGATACATAAGGCCCAATGTTGGTTGACTTCTCTATTTGATCAGATTCTATCCAAAAAGAACTCAATTTTGCACCTGATGCATTGAGGCCGTTCAGTGCGATTGAAAACACTAACCTGGTAAATAAGTTGCTCTGAAATACTAAAAGTTGTCATGAACATACGGGGCTCACAATAAAGAAAAAAGTTTTAGAAACCTATCAGTGCTTTATTTGCACTGAAAAGCAAAAAAGATGGCACGCCATTGATCTCCGTGATTAACAAGCCGTCATGGACCAGTTGGTATTTCAAGTTTACAAGTTGCTGCCAACTGAACTAAAAGTGAACTCTCTGTCACGCTCGGAATACACGAGTTCGCCGATTTTTTTCGCACAAAAAGTTGAACAACCATCTCAGTTTGATGCAGTCCACTATTTTAGAAATGATCGTTTAAAATTTATGCATAAATTTGGTGAAAGCATGAGAGAAAATAAAAGCGTGTCACAACAAAAGTCGGATGAACTTCAATAGGTCATTCAAATAAGAAGACAGAGGACACACATTAAACATCTTTTGATCTAATAATCTTCTCGCACGAGATTGAAAACCTAATATCTGAAAAAAATCTGGACGCGCTCCATTCTCAGGTTGAAACCTATTGATTTATTTATTTGAATGTGTTTAAGTAAGAAAGTTAATGTGGCGTGTCCAAACATACACCCAAAACTTTGGTACCTCTCAATGAAAGGGTACAGAAGTTATATCGCGTGACATTTCTTAGAACGTGACTTTTATGCAGCACTAATAAAGTCTCGCATAATAAAAAGTAACCGGCAAAGCCATCACCACTTTTAGCTCAAGAAAGCTGATGCTATTTAACGGCTCCCGCTCAATCTGTGCAACCAAACATATTTTTGGACCAGTCGCGCTGCAGGACTGACACTCGCTCTCATTCACTGTAGTTTCTTGTGTGATGTTTTGGTCCTTCTTCTACACCAACTCGTCTTGTAATAGGTTCACTATACATGTTCATTTTCGGGCTTCCTGTCACTTAAATCATTAATTGTTCAACCTTGTTTACCAGTATATGTTTGCTATCGATTGAGAGTACCGAAATAAGTGAATTCATATTGTCTCATTAGAATGTTGCTTTTCCTTTCTTGTGTTAAAATTTAATAATTGGATAAAAGAACTTTGTCGTGTTGCAGCTGCCAACTTTCTTGCAGATGGATCTCACTTTTGTGTGAATCCAAATGAGCTTCAATTCAACATACGCTAAACCATATCTGCATGGGTGAACTGATTACGGTCTCCGATTCAGGTTCTTAGGTCGGACTCATACATTCACATATGCCTCCGAATTCTCCACTCATGCGCAAAACTCGCTCTTTTCGAAAACCGCGCTCAGCACTTTCATCAACTCCCACCTACCTATTTCTCACTGTTTCTTCTGTTTTGAACGGGTTCACTGACGTAGATTAAGGTCGTAGCCCGCCGTTGTTCATCTTGACAGCTACTTCAGCAGTGCCCTGCTACTTGGAGCTTAGTTTTTCATTCCTGAGGCCTCATTCTGCGTTCATACTGGCTCCCGTCGAAGTAAGAATACTAATGCGCATTGGAGAACGAGTATATTCGGAAGTCTAGAGATCGATATATGTGTATTCTCGGACAAATGCCCTCAGGATACGAGTTAAGCAATTCGATTAACGTCTCCCTCCAAAAGAGACGTTTCATCCGTTCTGTTCCCAGAGACCTCGATGCGTCGATGTCTGTTCCAGCAGGTTTTGCTATTACCTCAGTTTCCAGGCCCGAGGCTGCTTTATTGAATTAAAGCGCGGTAGATAGTAGACTGTGAGACTCCCAGGCTCATGTAAAGTCAACAAGCACAAACGAAACGAATGGTACAGACGCCTCCAAAGACCGTAGCTCCGATACATTCAAATATTTCTTCTATCACAAAATAAATGAGATTCTTATCAAAGCTCCTAACACAGTTATCATGATTTTGGCCGGAAATTTAAACGCACTCAGTGGCCGCCTGGCGTTCAATGAGGTTTAGCTTGGTGATCACCATGGCTGTGACAGTTAATGAAAGTCGATATCCTAGCAAATGCTTGAAAACACAGTCAGCCCCCTGTTAGTGCGAACTTCAGACACCCCAGTCTTTACTTTATGTATGTTTTGGTGCAGAAATGACTCGGACCGATCACTTAGAATTTAACTGCAGCTGGGGAGGGTGTGTAAAATCTGTATTTCGTACTGATATACTTGCTTGGATTCCCAACAAGCACAGGGTTTGCCAAGTTGTCAATGCGATTTGCGTCCGTATCAACCAGAAGTGTAAACAACTTGACGTTTTGAAGTCTTCCGACACTGCCGTATTATTCACTTTAAAAACGAGTTGGCCTCAAGGCTTAGTATTAACCCAGCAAACAGTAGGAAACGACACTTGACAAACATGGAAAGTGTAACACATTTGGCTACTTTGGTCTAGAGAGCTGAGTTGTAAGTCAGTGAGTCTCCTCCGCCTCTCTCAAACTTCTTGAAGCGGGTTGGGTAGTACTGGCGGGCAGCAAGCATATGCAACAAGGACTGTCTTTGAAGACAGCACTGGCAGACAAGTAACGAGATGACCGAGGAGCATGTAGGCGCTACTTGCCAAGGAGTTGGAATTAACTGTTAAGTCTGGAAACACCCACGGCACCGCAAACAAAAGCAAAGATCCGAAAGAATCTCCAAGTTCTGAAACTCCATCGGGCGTCTGAATAATTCAACCTACGGCAGGCTCTTTTAAAACATGTTGTTGAAGTTCTCATGAGAGTTGGTCAACTGTTCTTGAAGATATGACTGGATGAAACTGTGCTCCTCATATGGAAGCAATCGTTTGTTACACCTACTTTCAAGAAAAGCCCTAAGCGTCCGTTCCCCTACTCAGACTGAGTACCATTCAAGGGAGACAAATCGGCGAAAGCTTGGTTTATGGCTGAATTGGCTAAGGTACGTCCTACGAATACCTGATCAATGTCTGCTATACAGTAGGTTATTATAATTTATTATTTGGAAGAAACGGCGAGGTGGGCATCTAATGACGTGGGTTAAAGTTTTCGAGAAATTGAGTACGGATTTGGCTTTCATCGGAGCTTCCAGGCCAGGAGTCACAAAGCTTCAGATACCGTCGGTTGAAGTCACTACGGGATACGATTTTGAATCAAAGTGGATGACGCGAATGCATCTTCTCATGCTTTCAATCTTCAGAATAAAGAGACGAAAAAGTACAAATGATGTCAACTAAAACCATTTTCATCCCCTAATATAAAAGGAATATTTCTGGGTTGATCTTGACGTATAGCTGTATGTTCTGCGGTCAAGTTCCTTCAACGCTAGGTTGCTTTGGCACCGTATCTGTAGGGATTAGTGTTTATATATATATATATATATATATCACTTCTGATAAACGAGATAACTATTACTTTGCTTCTACCCATCTATGGCAGATTTTGGTTGGTTCAAAACAAAAAACTTTAGCATATTTTATCTTATTGGATCTCCGATTTCAGGATTCCCGCCGAACTATGTTACACGTGTAAACCTGACAATTCAGAGGGCTAAAATAACATAACAAGGTTTCGATGTCCCGTATAGCGGGTTTTATAACAGATCTAACCTTTACTGTTAAGAGAAAAATGAGTGAATGAAGTCTACTCGATTCGAAATATGTTATGTATCTGCAATAAGGCAGGTTAGGAATTATTTGTAGGTGCCATGTGGTTGAATCAGATTGACCGAGTGAACTGGAGCTCTTGGACGGACTGGATCACCCAGTCCGCTAGGAGTTCAGTCGGATTCTTCCCATGGACAGAAGGGTTAAAATACATCTATAGAACTCCTATTCTCAACATGAGCTTTGTGATCTGTATAGCATTCATTTTCCGTCATCTCCTATTGTATATATATGAGCATCAGAAGACTCGAAAATACATGTTTGAAGCTGGAAAAATTTGTTTGTGGGATCGATTGAGTTAGAAGCATTTGGACTCGATAAGATATATTACTCAGGTTCGTTATTAAGGGGACTGAGAAATCGTAGACTCTTGCCGTACTCTCGGGCATAGTAGAATAAACAAGTTGGTTCATCTATAGCCAACTGTAAGAATAAACAGAATTTCTTTTCATTACCAACAGTTCTTTTAAGAAAGAAGTAAATATAAATAATAAATATAATATATAAATATAATTATATATATGTAATATATATATAATGATAATTATAAAGATGATTTATTGTTTATTATTAGGAAATGAGGTAGTAAATCACAGAATTACACTGGGGTAGGCATGGTTTTGCACCCGATCAAAGCTAAACACCCATCACTAAATTTGGGACCTGTGGTTCATACCTCGAACCTTAGAGGCCAAACAAGTTAATGTAACGACCTTTAAGCACTTGAATATTATAGCTTCTTCCGAAGAGACTCCGCGGAATTACTGAATTTTACAACACATATAGACATGAGTCGATATCCCTGGTTCAAGGAAAGTGCTGAGATTTTATTTGGTCAAGTAGTCACATTGATAACCACTGAATTACTAAAATCAATCGTGGGAGCAAAAAGAAAGCGCTACAGGGTATTGAACAAATCTATCACAACAAAAATAACGTATCCTTTTTCATTTGGCAATAATCAATTCCAGTGCTTCCGACTGTACGGTTGAATCGATAAATTGAGGATTGCGCGTGAAGGTGAAGTCTGAGTAATGATCAGCTCAAATCAATAAAAATCAATTATCCCACACCACTACTCACGAGTAGCTGTGAGTCAAATGTGAAATAACCAAGGACACGTTTTAGTCGCATTGGAGAACATCAAACTATACACCACTCGTGTACCGGCAGACTCTGCCCAAAACGCAATGAATCAACTAACTGTCGTTCCCATATTTCTTCCACTATTTCTTCCATTTTTCAGGAAGACATGCAGCAGCTTATACACAATATTGGTGAATCTGTTTTGATTCCGGAGGACGGAGCATTTGTGGCTTTGTGGATTCTCACTTTGTAAGTCTAAATAGCGGTGTTGTATTTATTTTCCCAAGATTATTTTACCGCGATTCGTCTGGCTCACAGTCTGTACTCAAAAGTGTGTGAAAATAAAAATAACAAGGTTTAAATAGATATAGCTATAGTTATTCTCATTTACACGTGGGCATTCAGGTGATGGAACATTCTATTGATAAGGAAAAAAGGCCACGTAATAGTCTTGAGTGTTCATTCATGATAATCTTGGGGGACAGCCTTCACATTGTCTCTTCTAAAGTTATTTGAAGAAGCTATCCTCGACTGCATTCAGCAGTATATAACCATTCCGAATGATGCTTCAGGCATAGCGTACACGCCTAATTGATCCGATTTAGAAACATCCCCTCTAAAAATACATCTAATCAATAAATATTTGAATTAATCTGTTCAGTCTGTTTGGAGTGTTTTCTTGACTACTCTTCGGCATTTGATTCCATTTATCGATCAACGTTGTTACAGAAACTGGAACTAACGAGGTAACCTTGGAACTTTCATATTATTATATAACTTATATATATATATATAAATTATATAAATTCCTGCATCAAATTTGTAGAAAGGATTCTCACAGATCCTGACCACACGTTGCACGCAGAACTGACACATTGTTGCTGCTGTCTCTCCACTTGTTCTCAATTCTGCCAAATTTCATCTCGTATAAACGCTTATCGAAATGCACATGTACCCTATCTTTCACGTTTACTGATAAACAAAGAGAGGGTAAAAAGCGAACTTCGTCCTATTCTTGGACCATGAAATATCCCTATGTTTACAGAAACGTTTTCCCCGTTTAATATTGACCCTGTGGCGGTTGGCGTGCATAGTTTTCAACCCAATTGTAAGCTTCAGTGCTTGCAAAAGTTATGCACCATGCACAGTACAAAGTAAACATATGTACACACTGTGAATACGCGAATTGCTAAATTCGCTGCGTGATCATTCACTTATTTGGCCCAGAATATTGGAATATTGCTCAAAGGATTGGTGACCTGAGAAATGGGGAAGCTTGTGGGAGTTATTCCAAGCTGATCAGGTACCATTAGCAGTATGGATCCGTCAATTCCACTTGGAGAACTCTATCAGGTACCGAGTGAATAAAGTGAAATGATCAGAAAAGATACCACTTAAACATGAAAAATTGCCAGCACAATATCAGTCAATGAAATTAAACGCCATTTGTTCAAATGACCAATATGAACGAAAAAGAAATTGGAAGGACAAAATTAAGAACATGAAATGAGACAAATGATGGGTAGTTTTTATTTTCACGAACACAACTTACGTGACGCTAAGATTATACTTACTAGCTAGCAGAATGACACTACTTACCTTACATTGTGATTGTTTCTGCTAACTAGTAGAATGATTGTTCGCAGTTCTTGGTAAAAGGACATTCAGGTGAATAGCCACAATGCTGTGCTGCATGATCAGATGGAGAAGGATTTGCAAGACTGCTATTTACATTGAATAACCATATAATAGACATTATGTATGCTAGGCAAGAAACGTGTTATTTTACGCAACAACATCGAGAATCCTTTGTTTGCGTTGACCAACGAAAATACACTGAATACTTTGTTGTGATCTCATGCTGTGCCCGTTGTTTGCCAGATTAAATAAACTAACCAATTAGAGTGCATCCGGAATATGGGTTTTGGCTTCCAACCCAAGGGCTCGCGTTTCGAGACCCACCAAGGACACTGAAGTTACGCACTGCTGACGAGTCTTGAAAGTACGACAACTGTGCAGTGCTTTTTGTTAGCCATTACAAATGACTACTACTGCATGAACGAAGTTAACAAAGTGAACTTCCCATGAGTAAATATGAAAATCGAAGTAAGCAGAAGCAGGGCCTTCTGCAAAAGATATCTAACGAAGCATTCCGACAATATGTTTATTTATCTTTTTGAGGGAATGTATCCAAACAACAACCAATTATTTAGCCCCAAACTCACTTGAACATTTGTTCCAGAACAAGCTTCTTTCAACGCACATAGAAAATTATTCACATCGTAAACGGATACGGGATTGGATACATCTTCATAACCAGCCCCAGGCACCTCACACTGTCTAGGAGGCAACTGGTCACGCTTCGAATACACGGGATGATGAGTGAGAGTCGCATATGGTAGACTGCGACATAGAGGATTCCATTTCTGAGTCAATTTAACATCGGTCTCGTCACCCCATCGCATTTGAACCCCAGGCGAGCTGCGAATCCTGTTGGTATTGAGCGTGTTTCCCAGGGAGATATCCGATTTGTACCACAAACGAGAAACAATAGGATGAAAGAACAATATTGCGGCACGATTAGTGAACAATAATTATTGGATTTTCTACGATAGATAAGGATGCATCACTTTGTGAACAACGAGTGTATATGAAAATATTAAGTAGCGAATTTGAGCAATTTATTCGCGGTTTAAGTGCATTCTCAACCGGTTGCATTTTTCTTTCCTTTATTTGCCATCACAAAGAGACTGCAATTTGACGTGATGTGATGGCCTGTGTGCGTCTACAACCCAACGAGCTACACGGGATGGCTTTCATCAGTCCAAAAGACCTTATCATGCCTGCAAGGTCAGATGGTAGAGGTCCAGTCTGCTGGTCCTCTAAATTGGGGGTTACACTCGAGTCTGCGTCTCAATCGGTTTCATGGTAGAGGAGTGACCGATCCAAGTGAATGAGCATCTATTTTGCTTTATCCGCCGCCTTGCGCTCAGGTTCTTGTCAGAACTAAAGGCTTTCGACGATAGTCATAATCGTTCTCCTACTTGGTGGCTGGACACATTAGAAGTACCCGTCCATCAAACCCCGATGCATACACAAACCAAACATAACTCCATACTGCATCGGTCGTCGAGCGGGATTATCGGGATTGCACTGCTCGTTGTATCAAGCGGGGTGGGTAGTGATAAGTTGGCTACTGCCCAGATATCCCAACCTTCGTTTAATTCCTTGTTTTCACATCCAACCCGCTCTATTTGCCCCTTCTGCTAACCCGTAACATTCCCTCAAACAACTTGTTCGTCACTCGCCAAAGTTCGTTGCCAAGTAGCGCTGTAAGCTGGTCACCATCAAATTACAGATTCTTAAGCCAATCACTAAATCCGGGGGCGTTCAACTTAAGGACTCTGGTACAGGTTGGTAAAAAAGCGTGTCGGGAGCGTACAATGAATTCTTTTGGGGATTTATGTCTGCTCTGTGTCGGATACTTGAATCCAGGATGGTACTACAATAAACCACCTAAGGGCACTGAATTCCACCTCGAGGAACATTCTCTGCACATCAGACGACGACGAAACTCGTTCAGTAATTCAGCGCGAAGTAGGCATTGTGCTGAGTAATAGAGCCAAAGCGTCACTAATTAATCGGATCCCCGTCAACCGTCGCTTATATGCGGTGCGTCTCCAGGGGTCAATCATATTCCGGATGGGAAGCAACACCAAAGGTGTTTGTTCATCATATTAGCATATGCACCGACCTACTGCAGTTCTGATACAGAAAACTCACCGAATTCATTTGGTTGAACCTAAGCTCCAATATGTTCGTGCTTGTAGATGAGTTTAATGCTCAGGTTGGAGAACTGAGCGCATCGGAAGCTTGCCTAGGGGAGTTGTTGTGCTCTGCCCTGTCAGTGAACTGATAACGGCGATCGACTACTTCATTTATGCGCAAACCACTATCTGTTCCTATCCAGCACCAACTTCCGATTCGGCTCTAGACGGACGACAATATGGTGCTCCAATTCAAGTAGTACGCTAACTCCAATCGACCACATAGCAGTAAGCTACGCTTGGCGTGGCTCAGTACAAAACTGCAGGTTCTGTTTGACCATGTACATTGAATCTGACCACGCATTATTTCCGAGACAGTTCACTCTCCGACTCACAGGTTGTCAACAAAATCAACGACCATGGTTAGCCCATAATCGCTTATTTGACCCAGTCGTTTGGGCCCGTTATGAATCAGAACTGAGGCATGAGCCAAGCGCGCTGCAGTGTGGTAGTATAGACGGAAAATGGGATCTAATTAGACGAGTAATGCACTGCGCAGTGGATATGAGCTTCAATCCCGTCTGAGGCATTGGATATCCGATGAAAAACGACAAATTCCAACCTGACAGAATCAAAACAGGAGTAGGTGGCGTCTGCAACGTCGGCTCACGAGGAGCGTCGAGCAGAACCGTAAAATCTAGTGGGCGACAGCAGCTGGTGAAATGGGAGCAGCGGCTACATCAAGGAATAATCGAAAATATGTTCCAACTGTTACACGACACAGGAGTTCGGTACAACCAAGTTAGTGAAAAAATCTGTGATAGGAGAAGACAAGCGATTTACAATAGAGGAAAACGGCTTGACCGGTGGGTGGAGTATTTCAATGAATAATTCTGCTGGCCTGGCGCTAACCAAACTATCTCATCTATTACAGCTGATGCTCCGTGAGCAGTGCCACATGAACCGCTCACACAAGCAGAAGTACAATCTCGCATTCAAGCATTGAAGGAAAGAAAAGTAGCAAGACCCGATAGGCTTTCCTCACTGTTTTCGAGATGGAAGCGATGACCTCGTGGATTGCGTTGCTGATTTACTGCGTAACATTTGGTCACAAGAGCGCGTTCCTTCATCTTGGGGAAAATCATCGATCGTATCAATCTTCAAGACGACGCAAACCACCGTGCGATCAGTCTGATTCCAGTCTTCACCAAAGTGATAGCCTTCGTCAAACTTCGACGTCTGACGCCCTACAGGGAGACTAATATCCATGACTAACAAGCAGGATTCCGACCAGGCTGCGGTTGTATCGACCAAATCTTCATGTTGCGTCAAGTTTTCGAGTTACACCTCACACATTGTCGACAAAATGTCGTGGTATTCCTTGATTTGCAAGGAGCCTTCGACTCGGATGAACGCGAAGCTCTTATTAGCGCGCTTCTTAGAAAAGGGACGCCGCTGAAGTATGTAAGCCTACTACTCGCATACTTGTGGTTCAGTAAGAGTCTATAACGAACTAATTAGATCGTTCTTAATCGGTACCGGTTTTCGTCAAAGGCCCACTATGTGGCCATTCCTGATCAATTTCGTCTGAAACGTTTCACTGAAGTTGAAAGGTCGCATATATTGTGCTACCGTTTGTTCAGCTCTGCTTTATGGATATAAGACCTCGAATTTGCAAGTAGACGATATTACTCGACTTGAAGTTTTCGAAAAGCGATGCTTACGTAACCTGGTCCAGGTGAAATGGAGCGAACGGGTTAGCAATCTGGTGGTAAGCCGTCGTGTTTTACAGAGTTTATCTGCGATAAATTTGCTAGTGTATCGAATTCAGATTAGTAGGATTCGCTTGTTAGGACGCATACTGCATATATCCTGTTGTCGGCTACCGCACCGTTCGTTATTCACTGTAGCCCCCAAGGGCTGGAGGAAACCACATGAAGGTCAACAGATGACTTGGAGATGAGTCATGAATGAACGCAAAGGGTAATTAGGTAGCGTACGTGGCTCTCTCCTTCAAGGGTGGGGTCCAAAAGATTTTAAAACTAAATGGTTGGAGACACTGAAGGACATGGCAGCAAACCAATAGCGGTGGTGTTCTTTCTGTCATTTAAAAGAATGCTTCTGAATGTGTGTATTTAAAGTTGGACTGTGTACACTGTGTGACGACCATCATGGTACTTTTTATTCCGCAACAGTTGGTCTTTTACTTTCGTTTTATGGCTTCCGAGTTGACAGCCTTTGCGTCTTTGTATTGCTCTGTACATGACAAATTTTTGCATGCTTTTGAAATAAAAGATTATCTTATATTCAGGCTTATTTCAATGTTTAACATTCGTATCATGGAAACCAACGAGGCTCGACTGTAATTCCTGTGTTAATAATATGTCGTGTGAAACCTTAATGAAAGCAATTACTAATGTTTATTAAGTCTTACAAATGAGTGATTTGAAATACAGTTTATGCAGGAAGCCTTGTTTTGTCTATGTAGTTGCGTATTCACTTACGTTCAAGGTTGTTATGTCGTAGTATTTACCATTTATTGAATGGATCAGAGAAAACATAAAAAGTCATGGGATTTGATTTCCTTCATTTGAGTTGTAAATTATAAACTTGACGTAAGCCATCGGGTCTCTGCACAAAATGATGGAAACAGAATGATGATAGCTTAACCAATGACCTCGTCGTCACAAAGAGCAATCGTTAAACCTAGGGTTTCCTGCAAACGATTTTGAGCAAATCACAGTTAAGGCAATGGAGTTAAGCTAAATCTGTTCGGCAGTAATCGATAATCTAGCAGATAACTTTCAACATCAGACTGTTTCAGTTGTGGTACCCAACGATTTATTTATACCTGCCCAAGGGCTGGATGGAAGTTTTCAATTAGATGTGTGCATCCTTCAATCTATATTATCACGCACGATTTTCAGTTCATTCATTCATTCATTCAAGCTTCCATTTCAGGAAGTAGTGTGCTTTCACCTTCAAGAAGAAAACAGCAAATTCAAGTAAATCCAAACGATTGCGTTCAACTCTGAACCTGCAAATTTAATGGTGTTGCACGAGCCGCAAACACGGAGGTTAGTGCCGAGATGGGTGAAGACCGATAATCACAACAAGCTTTCATAGATGGATTGTGCTACATCGTGTATATTCGAAATGAGAAACGGTCTGATCAGCCACCCGGTGTCCGAGTGGGTAGTATGCTGAAGCTCTATTTGTGAGGTCCTGGGTTCCATCCCCAAACAAGTCAATTGGTTTGCACTACTGATGAGACCCAACCAGGTCGAAACAACTGTCCAGTGTTTCCCAGATTTTCAGCTCACGCCTTATTTACATGACGAATTCATCATATCAACAAATCAATTCCTCCATTACTCCTATACAACAAATAATCAGGTTGTGGAATTTTCCCACTTGCCTCAAAACTGGAGAGTAGTTCTCATATGAGCCAGGGTCAATACCCTCAACAAGTAGGCAAAAATGCGTCAGGCTATATCGAGTATGGTGGAAATGAAAAACGGTATGATTAGCTGCCTGGTTTCAGAGTGGGTACTATGCTTGCATTCCATCTCTGAGGTGCCGGGTTCGATCCCCAGTTGGGTCGACGGATTCACTATGCTGGTGAGACCTCAGTAAGTTGAATCAGATGTTCAGTGATTACTAGCTTTTCCGCTCACGCCTCATTCACACGACAAATT